CCCGATTTGGCTTCTTCTTACTCCTGTATCGGTGGAGTCTACAGCACAATGGGTGACTACTCGAAAGCACTGGAATTTTACGAAAAAGCATTTAAAATAAGAGAAAAAGCTCTGCCTCCGAATCATCCCGATTTGGCTTCTTCTTACTCCTGTATCGGTGGAGTCTACAGCACCATGGGTGACTACTCGAAAGCACTGGATTTTTACGAAAAAGCATTTAAAATAAGAGAAAAAGCTCTGCCTCTGAATCATCCCGATTTGGCTTCTTCTTACTCCTGTATCGGCGGAGTCTACAGCACCATGGGTGACTACTCGAAAGCACTGGAATTTTACGAAAAAGCATTTAAAATAAGAGAAAAAGCTCTGTCTCAGAATCATCCCGATTTGGCTATTTCCTACAACAACATCGGTCAAGTGTATAAGAACATAGGTGACTACTCGAAAGCACTGGAATTTTTCGAAAAAGCACATAAAATAAAAGAAAAAGCTCTGCCTCCGAATCATCCTGATTTGGCTTCTTCCTACAACAACATCGGTGCAGCGTATAACGACATGGGTGATTACTCGAAAGCACTTGAATATTCCAAAAAAGACTTGGAAATCACAAAACAAGCTCTACCTCCGAATCATCCTGATTTGGCTTATCCATACAAATGGTTTGGAAAGATTTATCGCAGTATGAAAGATTATCCAAGAGCACTTGAGAATTTCGAAAAGTGTCTCTCAATACGTCAAAAAGCTTTATCTGAAAATCATCCAGATAAAGCTACTACATATAGTGACATTGGTGATGTTCATCGATTAATGGGAGATTATGAAAAGGCATTGTTATTTCATAGAAAAGCATTAAATATTCAAGAAAATGTTCAATGTAATCCTCTCGAATGTGCATTAACATATATCAATTTAGGTGAAACTTATCGAGAAATGAAAGATTATACAAGAGCATTGACATATTTTCAAAAAGGATTAGAAATACGTCAGAAGAAATTACCAAAAGATCATCCTGATTTAGCTGTTGTATATCACAATATGGCAAAATTATATTTATCAACTCGTCAATATAGTATGGCAATGAAAAATATTCAACAAACAATAGAAATTGCACAAGAAAAATTACCTTCAACTCATCCTCATCTTTCAGACTATAAAGAAACATTTGAAAAAATTCGAAAGAAAATGTAATTTATTCTTTTTGTTTGCTCAATAAATTCATTTCGATTGCTATTCATTTTGTTTTTCGGCTCATTTTCGCGTACGCACGCGCGCGACCAGGGAGAGACCCTGTAAGCCTGAAATGGGTACGCGCAGAGCGAACCACGCCGGACTGGTAGGGCATGATCATAGGTATGACATACATAAAGACGACAGGGACCTACGAACAGAAAGGCCTTCCCGAGTACAACACTGCTTTCACCATAACAGGCACAAGGAATCTTCCTGGGTCAGATCACGAAGCCACCTGGCAGGCTGTGATAGAAAAAGAAACAAAAATAGATAAACCTCCTCACGAAAAAAAAAATTCTGTCTTGAAAAGTTCTATTGGCCACTAGAACTTTTCAAGAAAGAAAATTTTACTATCCCTCTCTTCTACTTCTTAAGAGAAAAAAATATATAAGCAACATACTTTATAAATGATTGAAATATAAAATATAAATAATAATATATATATATATATCATTGACATAACGTTATGTAAATATAATAATTTCATTTAAATAAATATTTCTTGCACCCCCTGTAAAAAAAGAAAAAGATTATTAGAATACTTATTCAATATTATGATGATAGAATATTGAATAGTATTCAATGATTTCATAGAAGAAAATCATTCGATATATATATGTTTTAAACATAAAGTATACGTCAACGATGATCATTTTCATTGTTGTCATCGACGGTCACAGTTCATTGTTATACTATGACATTGTAATGAATAAGTCATTAATTATCAATGACAATGAAATAATGATAAAAGAAACAAATACATTGCATTGTTATAATTTCGTTTGAACAAAAATTTATTTCTCTATTTTATTTTTCTTTTCGAAAGACCAGAACATGTTTTTCATAAATGCTTAACCTAATGTCATCTAGAGATGAGTCAAAGTTTTTTGGGTTATTGTTCCTATGTGTTTATGTTTATTAGGAAGATTCATGACAATTCTCTTTCGATTATATTCGGTTTCAAGTTCTTTGGAAAAATAAGAAAAGCCACATATAAAATAAAAATATAAAACTATAAATTAATCAGAAGAGTAATAATAATAAGATCAATTGCACAATAAAAAAGATGTTGAAGTTATAACACTGGTGTAATTCGATATTTACATTCATTTAGATAAACTTTTAAATAAAAAATAAAGAATTATATTTAATCGGAATTTTTTTCGAAAATCATGTGATCAGGAAATATCAAAGATGAGATCGGTTCAAAACCGAATTAAAATCGATTCGTTTTGTGATTTTTCAAAAATCTATATCACGATTCAGTTCGATTTGATTCCAAAAAAAAACATAAAGTGATTCCATGTGTGAGAGGTATATTTTTTTGTATTTTCATTTCAGAAAACTTTCCATTAAACTAAATTATTCATTGCATGATATCATAAAGTATGAAATTAATTCGAAAAGTATACCAAGCGTAGAATTTTTTTTGTATCAGTGATTGCAACCAACGGTTGATTTATTAGAATTGATGGACCCATGGTCTGCTTTTATTGGAATCATAATAAAATTTGAGCAAATGAATCTAGCTAGTTTTGGATTGTTTATTTCAACTTAAAAGGTCTGAGTATTTTTGCTAAAAAGAACTCGATAAAAATTGGAAAGGAAGGACTTTTTATTTGTTGAATCTAAGAAAATAATTCTACAAATTATCCAATTGGAAATATTGTAAGAAAAATCTCAAAGGTAAGGACAAATAGTTTTGCTTGACAAACATACAATGAAGAAATAAACAGACAAAAGTCTATTGAATTGTCGTTCTCCTATTAATATTCTAAATCCGAATCTTTTGTTGACAAAAGTAAATCATATTTTTGAACTAGAATTTCAATCAAACTTTCACCTTCAGAGTAGATGAACTTTGATTCAGATCAGATCACAATAAATGCACCGATATCGAACTTCAAACAAATAAAAATTTGCTTTGATTAACCAAAAAGTCTCTGTGACCACGAGTCTAGGTAATCTACTTTTCTTTCAGCTTACTTGTCTACAATATGCAAAATACACTTCTTAAATGTTTCATATGTTCCTTACTCACACAAGTTCAATGATATTCTGGTCAATTATAAAAAGAATTTTTTTTTCACATAATATCAATCAATTTAAAGATGCTATATCGAAATCTGTGATCTTGAATTAATTAATTTAAAAAAAAAATCAAAAAGTTCTTTATATTCTTGTCGATATATATCATTCATTAGCATTAAATGAACATCAAATATGTAGGAATTTAATCTGTGATTCTTATATATGTCTATTAACTTATCATGATTATCTTATAAGTTTTATAATAAAAACTTCCTTAAATCGTTGTATGCAATCAAAAATTCAACGTTAAATATCAAAATTATCAATAACAAGTGATTTAAATCAATAAGATTTGTCCAATATATAAAAATAGTTTATGTAAAGATAATGATGGTCATGTATCGGAATAAAATTTACGAAGAAATAAAGATAGAGAGCAAAATAATAATAAAATCAACATCAGTTCTATCTCTTACTCTGCTACCATCATTATCATCATCATGAAATGTTTCAAATTCAACCTTGATGAATATTGATTAAATAACTCAATACTAAGTGGTTATAAATTCTATAGATTATTTACAATTATTATTAACATTACCTATTGACTTTGCTTCGAAACCTGATAAAGATAATCAATAATTTGTTCGTTATATATTAGTACATCCAAATGAACGTAAACAATATATACATTTATCATTGATAGCAGTGATGTCAACAATATCAACAACAAATATACCAACATCATTAATAGTTCTTTCAAAAGGTTGATAATCAACAATCATTATCAAATTTAATCATCTTTCTTTTTGATAAACAATTTACAAAATGTCATCCAAATGAGGTTTTTTGAAGCTTATCCTGAATTATTAGCAGAAATTCCAACAATATTATAATACTCGGAATAAGTAAAGAATAACAAAAAAACAATCTATTAAATATTTCTTTTTCTTTGGATATCATAGATGAAAAAAAAGTATTCAGCGTTGTTCAAAGTGGCAAAAAATTTTGTAAAATTGATTCATTAGTAAACAACATCAAATCATAGATTAAAAACAAATAAATGAATGAAATCACATAAATTAGATACATTAAGTTGTGTTTATTTTGTTTTAATTCAAATAACTAAAAAGTTTTGTTAAAGTCACAAATGATCAATCAACCCCAATCCATTTGTATTCCAAAATGGATCATTCTAATTTTACCTATATATTTTTCAAAATTCTATCAAATTTCAACTTTTGATCTTTTAAAAATTCTTTTTTTTCTTACATTTTCACTAGAACACACATACGCTATTCGATTTCATATTAAATGCAACTACGTATTCCTACTACAACTCCAATATATGTTGAGTGAAGTTCACTTCATTTCCCGTCCATGATTCTTAAAATGTTACTAAAATTTCTGCTAACACAACAGTCTTTGGAAGTTAACCCAAATCAGAAATTAAGATTAGTTTAATTTAAAATAAATTAAATCTATAGAATTTTCTCCAAAATCATTGACTATTACAATAAAAACAAAAATTTTATCTATTTTTTGGATGAACTGACTTGACAGTCAATTTTCTAACTAACAACAACAAAAATAATGGATAATGTATTTACAAAAAAAACAAACTATTTCATTAGATTCATCATAATTGCAAATGATTTTTGTCAATATTTTTTTATTAGTTAAAATCACATAATGAGTCCAAATCCATCTGTTTC